CTTCTCTACATGTTAATTGTAATTATTTCTATCAATACCATGTTTTTTTTTTCTTTGTCTCTTTTCCAGAAGAAGTTGCACCTGGACCAGTCTTGGACCAGTTCTTCTGTGTTTGTCTGTGCCTCTTTCCTTTCGCTCAACCAGCCGGTCGAGGCAGAGAGCCACCTGTCCTGAGTCTGGTTCTGCTGGAGGTTTCTTCCTGATTAGCAGGAAGTTTTCCTCTCCACCGTTTGCTTAGGATGGGAGACTGTGATGAAGTGATTCAACACAATCTGTTGGCTTCTTTTTTAGATTGTTCTTTTTTCACGTGCAGTGCCCTGAGACAATGTATGTTGTGACTTGGAACTATACAAATAAACTGAATTGAATTGAATTGGCTTGAGTGTTTCTAACCTCTTCATCCGAGGGAAACAAAGGTTTGAATAAAGACTAGTGTCTTTTTGGGGAGAGCAATGGGCCCATTTATGAGGCAACTGACCTCTCATATGTGTTCTTTATCCTTCCCCAGTCGCCATAAATCATAACTATACTGTGAAAACAGGCTGAAATCWAAAACAAAGTTTACCATTTTAAAACATCAGAAACTGTTGCTTAAAACAGGAGTGGTTTCTATGTACTTCAACTGGTATATTTTGCAAAATAACAAAAATCACTATTTTCTCTTTGCCATTGATGGTTTTTATTATTTTTTTTTTGTGTCAGCGACTTGTTCCTAATTTTGCTGTGGCATGTCACAAGTGTTAATTTATTAGCAGCAAAGGTATATGTTATGTTACGTTACGTTATATTACCAGGTTTAAATCATGTTACCACAAGGTGGCAGTAAGTGGCTTCAAAGCACTCTAAAGCTACAGTTGTGTGCTACRAGCTGTGTCTCAATTCATGAGTTGCAGCTGACGTTGGTTGCATTTGTCGGCCGCTTATGTCACTAGCCCGCACAGTAGGCTGTCCCAGTTCGTAATACGTATATTTGTTGTTTCTGTATTAGTTATTGATGTTTTCTGTTTCAATCCCTTTGTTTGTTATTAGTTTGTAAACATCCCCTTTTGTAATAAAATCACATTACATTACATTAGATAAGTACTATATCTTAAGTTTTGAGTGTTACAGAGGGTCAAACTGTGCTATGAACCTAGATTCCAACTCATAAATCTGAGTTAAGGCTAAATCAAAATCAGCTTTGTTGTCATTCAAACAWAACATCAGGGATGCAATGTAGAACGAAATTGCAGTTAAAGAACACCCGTTCAAGAGAAAGACAAACATAACAAACACGGGGGAATGGATGAACAGGTATTTTGCAGCTTGGAAATACACAATAGGATAGGTGAGATAAAAAATGTTGCTCTGATCCTATATTTACTCATAAACACAGAWTCATATGCACAACAAAAACACTTGCTACAGAGCAGACAGCTGCGGATAGGGGGAGCTTGGAGTCAAACACATGAGATGGGGCAGGCTTCAGTGACGATTTAGGTTCATTCTCCGAGCTGGAACTGATCCAAGACCCACCAGAGTCCAGAGACCAGATCTTATTCTTCTCACGCTCAGTTCACTTGAGTTCACAGTTTCCCCTTCCTCCTCACGGCCTTCAGACTGGTCCCACACAAATGATGTGGGGGGGGCACTCAAGTCCTTGTTGGCATATCCTCCCGGGGAGTTTAGATAACGTGCCAACCGAAGGAGAAATCTAATTATCATAAATCCAAATATATACAAATCTTCCACATCTTCAATGGAAAGYGGCGCCAAACAGATCAGGTTCCAGCCCCAGGAACCACTGACCCAACCAAAAGCAACCGTCACACAGGGACATCTGTGTTCCCCTCATTCCAATCTTAATGTGAAATAAATAGTGTCAATTGCGCTCAGAGACCAGTTGACCAAATCCATAATTCCTTTTGTTTTCAGATGACAGGTGAAGAAAGGCTTGAAAAAGCTGCGAAGCAGGAAAAGAGGGGCAGGTTTGGGAGAGAGGGCAAAAAGCGTCCGACTCCTCTGAAGGCCAAGCGAAGAAGGCTAAACATACTAGAGCTATCAGTAATTGAAACACAATGCAGAGTATAAAATATCATTGTCCTTTTTATGTATTGAAGGTGTTCTTCCACACTTGGCATAAGGTTGAGATGGCTTCTGAAAATCCTAATCCACATTTAACACCAATTACGAGGTGCTGCTGACCCCAGTGCTTGTGTAATGTTCATGTAGAAATTTATCTTAATTCACTAGATTAAAAAAAGATCCTTATACAGTGTCCTGTTAGTCAAAAGGAGAATAAAAAATAACTTTGTTGTAATGACACAGCACCAGTCTAATCAAGCAAAACTCACAGAAACAAGGTGTTTATTACAGTGGAACCATTATTGCAAGTAAGACTTATTTGCATAGTTATGAAATTAAATGAATAAAAAAAWTTTCAGAAGAGAGATGCAAGGATGATTTCTTGCTGCACATGTTCAACTCTACTGCTTCACGCTGGAATAGAAACATTCACTGAAGGTGTCGTCTGTCTCTCTTGACACTCTGCTGTCAGAATACCTCACGGCAGCGTATTGAACATTCTCTCCACTTTGCTGCAGCTGGTGACAAAAATTAAATACTTAATTACTGTGCTATTCAATGCAATACAAAAAACACATGCCAAGAACCTTAAAGCATTTATAGAGGGGAGGGAGGGGTAAAAACATTTACCAAATGTCAATTCAACCCCAATTTCAATTTTTAAAAAATGTCAGGGCATTGTGTAAAATGTAAATATAAACCAAGTGCAATGATGCAAAMCTCTCACAAACCCAAACATGTCAAACTTTCTGCACTCCACTATGTTGTTCAACCTGTTGGKGCACCACATCAGCTTTTACTGATGAATACTCAATCACCATTTTTTGTTTTTTACCAAAGTGTGAGATCATAAGATTCAGGGAACTCTTTTCATCAGCATTTCTTAAGAATGAAGAAAACCAGCTTTTCCTTTATGTAATTTATTACAAAAATAGAAAAAAATCGTGGAATAATTAATAAAATTGTAAAAGGAATACCATGAAAGACAAAGGCAATAAGGTTTTAAAAAATAGTTCAAAAGTAAAATAAACGCAGACTTGATGGTATAAGTCTAACCTTCAAATAAGTTTGATGTCTAAAACCTTTTTAGAAGGAACAAAACAGATATTTCCCCCAAAGGAAATATTTTATCTTCTATGAATTAATTGAGAAGTGACCCAGGTTAAGAACCTATAAAGTTTTGTCAGTTTGGAGACATGTTAATATCCTAGGATCTTGGTCAGATTAAAAGTTAGTTATTTAATCTTACTACAGATAAAGAGATATCAAAGTGCCCCAGGCTAACACAGAACAGCTCAGCGAATCATTCGTCATGCCTTGAGCGAGGTACAGGTCGATATTCTCACCAAGGTTGAAGACGTCCAGTTTGCCTCTTCGAGGTGGGCGGCTTACTGTGGGAGCCCTTTTGGAAACAGTCCACGAGTTCAGAACTGACCAGGATCATCGATGAGAGGTTGTGTAAGAAGCAGGTTCTGGCGTGGATTCCCGTATCAACCTTTATCAGTCATTTGTCTTAAAAACATTTACATACTCACAGGGGAGGTTGTCTTCCAGTCTGAAGCTTGTGAGCTCTATAGCATGATGAAGTAGCTAGACACTGAACCCTCCACTGCCCCTGATATGCTTATTGGTGTATGTTCCTCGACATTTACAGGCTGTTGTTAAGAGAAGAGGGAATGCTTTCCAGTAGAACGGGCCTGTCCTGTCTTTTGCACTTGTGTTATTGCCATCAAAATGATGAGTTTGTGAGATTTGCAAACCATTGGATTCTGTTTTTAATTTACATTTTACTTACCAACTATTTTGAATTTGAAGTTGTTTGTAGAAGCCATCATTAAAAGGAAAAACATATATATTACCACAGAAATTACTCTTACCTGCAGAGGTCTATAAAGTAGTTGGAAAAAAATAACTAAGTAAAAGTAAAATTGCATGAACAGAAAATGACTTTGGTAAAAAAAAAAAAATACATTTCACTGATGAGAAAACTACTCAAGTAAAAGTCATAAAACTGTTCACAAAATTCGGAAAAGTAAAAGTACTTTTACACACTCACTGAACCAAACTGGTGCCACTAAACCAGGTTGAGTAAATTGAGCAATATATGTATATTCTTTGCTCAATTTACTCAACTAGTGCAGCCAGCTGACATGACTTTGTTGAGTAAATTCAACACTTCATTTTTTTCGAGTGCAGAAACATCTTCTTTCATGATGAGTTCAGATTTAAATTTGTAATGAGTAATTAGGTGTTACATTTTAAAGTAAAGAAGTAAAAGTATCATTTTTAGCTTTAAAATGTAACAAAATAAAAGTATTTTTCAAAACGTCCGTGTATTGACATTGTATTGACTTTGATTTTTTTTTTCAAAACATTATTGGATTCCCAAAAAATACTTAAGWACTGTAACAAAGTAAAGGTACTTAGTTAYTATAAACCTCTGCTTACCTGTGTAYTTTGTCTGTGGGTAGCACAAAATGCATCACTGRAGTCTGTAAAGAAAWTTTTMTTAATTTWGAATTTAAAGCAGAAAATTTTSAGTATTTAATGTCATTTCAAAAAGCAGCAAGTACAGTACCTGTCTGCTGACTGTGTCTTTTGCTCATTTTAAATACTGAGACAGTGAGACATACAACCACTGAGGTGGTAAAAGCCAAAGCTCCACTCAACAGATAAATGAAAAAAAGAGGGAATGCTCCATCTACAGAGAGATACCACAAGACACAATGAGAATTCAAGTTAGTTTCTTCTACATTTATAGTAATATTAAAAATAAAAGTGTGTTATTATTGTCACATTTAAGTCCAGTTTTTCAGAACTTAGAAAATTGTCTTTTTCTTTCCCTTTTTTTAGATTTTTTTAGTATAGATTGTTTAAGCTGAAAAGACTGAATATGTTTAACTTGAGCATTAAAATGTTGGAACATAATATAACTTCAAGAATTCCAGCACCTGAGGAGAAGGCAAGGCAAATTTATTTGTACAGCACATTTTACACCAGAAGGCAACTCAAGAAGCTTTACTTAATAAAAACTAGTCAACATGAGCAAGACTAAACAAYACATTCACAATAGATAAATACTTTATTGATCCCCTTGGGAAAATTTAAGCATTCTCTGCTTTTCACCCATCGCACATATGAGCACTGAGCACACACRTGCAGCAGTGGGTTGCCATTTGTGAGGCGCCCGGGGAGCTGCTGAGGGGTTAAGGGCCTTGCTCAAGGGCCCAAAGTGGGGCTGGTTGGTCCAGGGAGTTGAACCAGCRGTCTTCTGATCACAGGGTTACCTTCTCTAACCTCTGCACCAACACTCCTCCCACACACGCACACACATCCGTGTATTTGCATCAAACTAAGGACATTGTATTGACTTTCATTCATTTTTGTAACTGTATTTATGCCTAACCCAGACACATTCCCTAAAWTTAACCATTACTGGTCTATAGTTAACACTAACTTGAACCAAAACCTAGTTCACACCATWCCTCTAAACCTAACTAGTAAAGCACAGCAGAGCTGCAAACAAAGTGAGGACATGGAAGAGGTTCTCACTTTACATCAAAGACCTCACTTTGATAGTAACTGTGGCACAAATTGTCCTCACTCTGTATTAATAACAAGCACACACACACACACACACACACACACACACATGCTTGTTTCTCAACCCCGTGGGGACCTTCCATTGACTTCCATTCATGTTTTTAGACTTTATATCCTAACCCTGACCATATACTCTAAAATTAACCTCACAGAAACTTACAAGACCCTAAAACTAACCTAAACCTTGGTCCTAAACCTAACCCCACACCTGTAACATGCATTTGGACCCGTGGGAACCGATGTCAAGTCCCCACGATTCACTTCGGTCCCCACCTGGCCGCTTTTTTTTGTAAAAAATACCCCATGTTGTAGGAAAAACTCATCTCTCTCTCTCTCTCACACACACACACACACACACACACACACACACACACCAAGATACAACATAAAAACATGAAAAAATTATTAAAAGCAATACAAGCTATTTAAGTGCAATTAATTAAAAGCAATAGCTAATAAGAATGTCTTTAATATGGATTTAAATAAGATCAGATCAGACTGCATTCTGAGGTCCTCAAGCAGTTTGTTTGACATGTGAGGTCTATAAAAACTAAAAGCAGCTTCATCACATTTGGTCCTGATTTGTGGAACAACTAACAGTCCTGTGTTTCCTGATCTGAGAGGTCTGGGTGCTTCATAATGTACAAGATGATCTATGAACTATGGAGCTAAACCATTCAGTGATTTATGTACAAGAAGGAGAACTTTGTAGTGCATTCTGAAAGGAACTGGTAACCAATGGAGAGACTGAAGAACTGGAGGTTTTTGGTCTTCGTTAAGACTCTGGCAGCTGCATTCTGGACCAGATGGAGTCACTGGATTATATTTTTTGGCAAAACTTGAAGTAATCCATTACAGTAATCTAGTCAACTGGAAATGAAAGCAAGAATAAGGATTTCAAGATCAGGTTTTGAAACAAAGTCTCTGATACAATAATTTTAACATAGTTAAAACATGATTTTATAAAAATCTGTATCCAAAGTGACTCCAAGGTTCCTAACTTGACCCTTATACTTTAAAGACAAGCTACTAAGATCAGCAGTAATTTTAAAATTCTATGTTTGTCCTCCAAAAATAATATCCTGTGTTTTTATCTTTATTAAAGTGAAGAGTGTGTTTTTATACAACTATCATTTGATATGTAAACGTATATTTGAGTGTCATCTGCATGCCTGTGGTATGAGACACTAATGAGAACATATATAGATTGAACGGCAGAGATCCAAGAACTGATCCTTGTGGCACCTCACATGAGAGTGTAATCATTTACAATGAACCAGTAGATACAAAATTATTTTCTATCTTGAAGATAGGATTTAAACCAGTTCAAAACTGTGCTAGAAAAAAACACACCAGTGTTGAAGTCTGTTAATTAGTAGATTATGGTTAGCTGTGTCAAATGTAGCAATTCGGTCCAACAACACAGGAGCAGAGGCTTTGCCAAAATCTAACTAAAGATCGATGTCATTCAAAACATTTAGGAGGGCAGTGTCTGTACCGTGACAAGGTCTAAATCCAGGAAGATGTCAAGATATTTATTCACTGCTAAAAAATGTGTAAATTGGATAAAAACAATCTTTTTAATAATTTTGTTGATATATGCCAATAATTGTTTAGTACAAAAGTGTCTAGATTAGTGGTTTGATAACAGCAGTGTTTAGCACTTGGAGGAAAACGCCTGATGATAGGGAGTTATTAATTATTTGTAATAATTCAGTTGACAGAGAGGAAACATCTTCTTATAAAATTCTGTAGGAAATGGATCAAGGCAACATTTGGAGGGGTTAAGAGATTAAACTGTTTCTTTTAGATCAATTTGGTTTATTGGATTAAAAGGTTTTTTTTCAAACTGCTTCTAAATAATGGATGTAAAATATTTAACTGAGGTGATGGAGGAATTGTTAGTTAGTTTGTTTGTTTGTTTGTTTGTTTGTTTGTTTGTTTGTTTGTTTGTTTGTTTGTTTGTTTGTTTGTTTGTTTG